CTAATGATGGTTCTAGGCGAGAATCCAAAACTTCCAACGAAAAACGTTACCTCCAATCGATTGCCTCTTCTTCTTTGGAATAGTGAGCAATGTATTTTGGTGATCTAGGAGTTGCAGTGTAACAGAACCGCAATTTTCTTGTGCCATGGTAATCTAAATAACGGTCTGATCATTATAATAGATACACTTATGCCCTTAACTCAACCTTTATGCGGACAGTGATTGTGCCGCTTGTCGTTTTTAAACTTTTGAGGACTTTCTAGATTGTAACGGAAGATTAATATTTGAACACTTGTGAGGACAATGCTCAAATTGCTGTGGTTACTGATTGATAAAAGAATTCCTAGCGTGTGGCCCCGCTGACGATAACACCTGGGTTAAAATACTCCCAGGCTACCACTAAAGATATGCATTGACTTAGTGTCTGTATCGTACAGGAGGGGGGGCTAATTTGGTGAGTTAAGAAATGTGTGGCAGCATATTTCACAAAAAGAGTGTAATAAGTATAATATTTAATGTTAAGTCTGTAACTCAACCCTTCCTGGCGTAATCCGCCTTCCTAGCTTTTGGCCCCACTGGACATACCCGATGGATTCATTGACATAGTATCTGTATCCTATAGGGACAACTGTAGAGAAAGAGTCTAAGAAGCCTAGCTGGTGGAGTTTACATCGTTGATAAGGCGGACATGGACAGCGAAATAGATCAGGCTTCATTTGTCATTTTCATCATGAGTCACCGTGGAGGCTAAAACTACCCGAAGAGTCCGAAATTCACACGTGTTTTTACATTGTATGTTTTACACGTTTAAGTTATTTTATCAACGGTGTACTTTTAGACCGGCAATATAAGCTCTAGGAAGTCTAATTGCAGAGCTACGTCAGATGAGTCAATACTGAGCGTGGAGCTATATAACGCACTACCAAATTCACTTTGGCTGCAAACACAGGGGATAGAGATGAGGACAGTTTCCTTTGGACCAGTGTTTTTTCCACAGTCTAATGACAGGAAATGCTTTGGGTTAAGTATGAAAGACTGCGTCTGTGTAAGCGAGTTACATCATATCTAAGTGCCTTTTTTAGAAATATTACTTTAATCGACTTCCCGCTACCTAATTAACCAAGCACTAAACTGCCCATCTACATACAAATGAAGTCTGGCTTTTGCCTTTTTATACTTATCTTCATACTTGCAATCTGTTTTTCGACCTTACAACTAGATGTCAATACGCAACTATGCAGCCCAGTTTGTTGGATCTCAGCAGCCTGATGCCCAAGAATTGATGATGCTTCTCCTCGGCGTTCTGCACAAAGAATTAAAAAGGGTTCAAGAGAAAACCTACATCGAACTAAATGATGCCGATGCTCATCGCGATGAAGTGAGTAATTCCACATAGTTTATTTTCCCCACTTACGCCACTCGGCTTCCGGATACGCCAAGTGCGTGCCTATAGCGTAATGGTGAGGTCATATGCCTCGAAGTGTTTCCTCGAAGAATAGCCGCGTGGGAGTTATGCTTTACCGAAACAGTATTGCCATTCTACAATAAACTCCCCCACCTTTTA